ATTAGTTTATTTATGTGTGGAAATTTAAAATCTGAATATATATATATATATATATATATATATATAAGTACATACACATACATATACACTCAAATAATATAATGGTTTCAGGGAATCAAACCAATACAATCAGGAAATTCATCTTCTCCCCCTTCCTTCCCTCATACATTACTGCCAGTGCAGGCGCAGATAATCATCAGCTTCTTGGGAATGTGTTGCATCCTATTCTAAGTAACTTGGTGTTCCCAGGATTTCAGAGATTGCAGCGTATTCTGCATAACAATGTCAGCAGAGTAATTTTATATTACTTGTTCTCCTCTACTAACATAGCAGATAAAAATTTCCACTAGAAAGCAGATGTGAAGAGGTTATTTTTCATTAGTAAGCTAAAAATCTGAACGCTAAAAAATAAGTTAGTCACACCAAGGCTCTCCTGAGCCATGGGCAGGAGGTCAGTCAGTCTAACCACTCCTTGAAGACAGCAGTTGGCTTGGGAAATGGGTATAACTCACACTGAACTACTTGGCCTTTCTAGCAATATGGAATTTAGCTCAGCATGCTCAGTTTGTTTATGACAACATTCTTTTACTGTTCACCACTGTGGACTGCTTCTCTGTTTAGGATACAGAAGAACAATGGATACTACTTTTTATGAAAAGTTTCAGGCCCTGAAAACCCTCTGAAAATAAATAGTCCAAATACCGGTTCCATTTCTTCCCCTGCAGGTACAAAAAAGAGAAAAAAAATGACTTGTTGAATATGAATATTTGTTCCCTGCCTCAAGTTTACAACATCCTGAACACATAGTGCAAACATCAGCTTAGATGACCTAGGTTCATGATTAGAGCTAAGTCACTAAATTAATCCAAGGGCTCTAAATATTGCTTTAATTATAATGGTAAAACATTCATCATAGCAAAGTACTGTAAAATAGAAAAGTACCACCATTCTCATCGTCTAAAAACTTACTATCTAAAATAGATGACACAAAAGATATTATGTCACTCACAGTCTCTGCTGTATACCCAGGAGTATTTTCTAGGATAATGAGAACTCTGTGATGTAAGAACTCTGTGTTCTTACATCAGATTCACTGTAGATACACACAACTGTACTATTACATGAGACAATGAATGATCAGAATAGCAAGGGTCAAACTATGAAGAGTTATATCCTAGAGACAATGAAGGTCTATGCCAATAAATCTGGATGAAAGTTATTTGACAGCATTACGAAGGCAAACATTTCATTTTCACTTTTTGCAAGCAGTAGAACTAAGACTAGGAAAGAAGTAAAGGCATACAAAAATCTCTTGATTAAGCTTCGTGAAATCCATATTCATGATGAAAGTAAATTTATTTACCCGAATAGAGCTCACGTCTACTGTCCTTTCTTCGGGGCTTTCCTTTAAAATGAACACATTAGGTTAGAAAATCATCAGATAATAACCATGTTTCTTCACACCCTGATTCATATTGCTATGTTCTATTCCTACCATCATTCTGGGATTCCTTTTGAAAATATATTCACTATAGCCCACTCTATTTCCTTCTCCCTAAAAGCACAAATAAGGGAACAAGAAAAGCATAGACAATAAGTGAGCACCTAAGATTAACTAGCCTCTGACCTTCTCTTTTTATTTTTGTACTTAACTGTTAAAAGTAGTGATGGAGGATGTTAAAGACTTTTTCTCTAAGAAATGTGGTGTTTGACTTGTACCTTAAAGGACATTTTCTAAGTTTCCCATATTGATCAGTCCCCATGGACCTTCTTGAATTTCACTGGGGTCAGTTATAATTAAATGTGGCTCATCTGTGAATTTATTGATTTCAGCCTTTTTAAAAGTTAGTTTGGCTAGGGCTTTGTCAAACTTGTTTATCGCTTCAGAGAATCAGATTTTTATTTCACTGATTCTAAATGTTGTTCTTTTAGTCTCTATTTCATTTATTTCTGCCCTAATCTTTATTATTTCTTGCCATTTACTAGAAACTTGTGGTGCATCATTAGTTTGAGACCATGGCTTTTAAAAAGTTGGGGTTTGTTTTGTAGGTTTTTTATGTGTATGCGTGTTTTGCCTGCATGTATATGAATACACCACATGCGTGCCTCTGCTTAGAGGCCAGAAGAGGGCACTGAGTCCCCTGGAAATGGAGTTACAGATGCTTGTGAGACACCATGTGGCTGCTGGGAAGATTAGCTGGGTTCTCTGCAAAATCAGCAAGTACTCGTAACCGCTGAATCATCTCTCCAGACACCACCATGAATTTTTAAAGTAAGCACTTATATAGCTATAAGCTTTCCCACTAGGAATGCGTAGCTATATCCCAGAGGTTCTTGTAGATTGTATTATGATTTCATTTGATTCTAGGAATTTTAAAATTCCCTCCATGATATCCTCAGTACATTCAGAAATTTTCAGTCTCCAAATATCTCTATAGTTTCACTTACTGTTGATTCCTAGTCTTATTTTAATATATTATAAGGGATTACTTGAATTTTTGGTATTCATTACAGCTGTTTTGAAAACTGCATTTAGACATGTAGAAGAATAAAATTAGATCTGTATCTCTCACCCACCTCAAAAATAAATTCAAATGAACAAAAAACCTCAATGTAAGACCTAAAATTCTACAACTGCTAGAGCGAAAACACTTCAAGATATAAGCATAGGCAAAAACTTTCTGAAAAGGATTCCAATAGCACCAGGCAATAACTCCAAGAACTGACAAGTGGGATTACATGAATTTCAAAAGCATTTGCACAGCAATGCAAGCTACCAGCAGATAATCTACAGACTCAGAAATGCCCTGCCAGCTAAATTTCAGGCAGGGAGTTCTAATTAAATATCACAAAAACAAATTATCCAATAAGGTAACAAAGTGAACAGAAAGTTCTCAAAAGAAGAAATACAAATAGCTAATAAGCATTTTACAAAGTGTTTGACATCCTCAGCCATCAGGAAAATGAAAATTAAAACCGCTTTGATATTCCATCTCATCCAAGTCAAAATGGCCATCATTACAAAAACGTGGGGCTAGAGATGGCTCAGCACTTAAAAGGACTTGCTGAACTCACACAGAATTCAGCACTCACCTGGTGGCTTAGCATCCTTTATAATTCTAGGTGCAGGGAATCTGACCTCCTTTTATAGTCTCTGGGGTACCTCACATGTGCACATACATACATGTAGGCAAAACATCCATGCATACAAAATAAAAAAAAAAACAAAAACAAAACAGAGACAGAATGCAAAAAAAAAAGAAGCTAGAGAAGATGTGGGAGCAGTGGACCCCTTATTAACTACTTCTTGGAGAGTAAACTGCTGTAGCCACTATGGAAATGAGTCTGAGATCCTTGAACATCTGTGTCTATTACTGCACTATTCAGAATAGTCAGGGAATAGAAATACCCTTTATAGCCGTCCACTGATTCATGGGTAAAGAAAATGTGGTGCATTCATACAACTGAACTTATTCAGCCATAAAGAAAAATAAAAATCATGACATGCATGGAGAAACAGATGGAAATCTAAATTAGCATATTAAGCAAAATAATCCAGACTCAGAAAGACAAATACTGTATGTCTTCTCTCCTATGTGGATCCTAGATTTTGTGTATATTTGTGTGCATATGTTCATGTGTACATATGTGAAGACCAGAAGAGAACCTCTGGTATGGTTCCTCAAGCACTTTGTTAGAGACAGCATGTCTTCAGTGACCTGGGGCTTGTCGATTACAGTAGGCTGGCTGGCCATCCGGCCCCAGGGTTCCCCCTGCCTCTCTAGTACTGGAATTAGAAGTACACACCTGGCATTTAAAAAATGCAGGTTCAGAGGATGAAACTCAGGATCTTCTGTTGCCTTCCAAGCAATTTACTGATTGCCTAACCCCCAAATCATAGATGGGAGGGAGGGAAGGAAGGAGGGAGGGAAGGAGAAGATTGAAAGAATACATGTGACATGAAGTAAATCTGTGATATGGCAGGATGGAAAGGAGTGAAGCAGCAGGGGTGCTGGAAAGTGAGGGCGGGGAAGAATCAACAAAAAGGGAGGAAAATGCAATAATGAAACCTAATACTTTGAATGCTAAGTTTACAAAAAGTAAAAAAGAAAAAAAAAGTACTAAAAAGGGATAAAGGAATCTTGTGCAGTATGTACAGTAGATTCTATGAAACTCTAAATCTTTACTTGGCTTTAGCTAGCACCATATTCTCAGACACAATACTTTTTACTATCCGTAACAGAAAATTCTGCATATTAAACTTGTATAGCACAGCACCCCTGTGATATAGTTTTTGTAGTGCTGGGGATCAAATTCAGGGCCTTGTGCATGCTAGGCAGGTGCTCTGCCACAGACCTCCATCTTCACCTCAGTGATGCCTTTTCCTACTTAGCATTTTTAGTTTGTAATCCTGAACCAGTTCTTTGAGATGTAGACATATTTTTTTACCATATAGCATTTTTATAAACGTATGTCAGTAAGTGTTCACAAATTGGCAAAAGCATTTGTGTGTGTGTGTGTGTGTGTGTGTGTGTGTGTGTGTGTGTGTGTGTGTGTGTGT